CCCCGAGCGCTTCTGGTTCGAGTGCGGCGCGCCGTCGGCGCTGTCGGACTGCGCGGACGAGGAGGACTCGTTCGTGTCGGACAGCTCGGAGCAGGTGCAGGCCTGCGGGCGCGCCTGCTTCTACCAGAGCCGCGGCTTCCCGCTGGTGCGCTACGCCTACAACCTGCCCCGGGTGCGGGACTGAGCCGGGGTCCCGCCCGCGGCTCCCGGGCGCCCCAAGGCGCGCGATCGTCCCCGGGCGTCCGGAGGAAGCGGGTGGCAGCTTCGCCCTCGGAGCAGACGTCTTCGGGGAACAGGTGCCGGCGTTGTCCGCCGCGGGAACAGCGTCCCGTCAGCTGGGGGTGCACCGCGGACCGCCGCGACTTGCAGAGGACCTGGCACGTCAGCGTGCGGCCTCGGGCTTCCCTCATCCTGAAGAGCAGCTCTACAGTGTTTCCGAATTAAGCACAAGAGAAGGAACAGCTGTTAATATTTTTTAAAGCTATCATTTTTAGGGGGTGGTGGATGAGGCAGGATCTCGCTGTGTAACCTGGGCTGGCCTTGAACTCACTGTGCAGCCGACGCTGGCCTCGATCTTCTATCGATCGCCCTGCTTCAGCCTCCCGAGTGCTGCGCTGGCAGGCATGTGTTGCATGCCCCGCAGAAAAACTTACTTTAAAATACGACTATGTAACTGAAGAAAAGTCTTGCGAAGACTCACCGTTAATCTCAGGACGACCTCAAGCCCACTTAGAGCGCGTGGACATCGCCCTCCGCCTTTCGTCCCCCTCTGGGAGGGAAGAGGGTCATGGATCCTGCTCACAGCATTGCGGGTTTAGGCCTGAGCATGTTTTGAAAACAACACTAACAGCTGTTAGATTTTCTTAATGGCGGAACCTTTGTTTTGGGTCACTTTCTCACGTGCTGGGACATTCCCTCCGTGTTCGGCAATCACTGGGAGGAAAAGCGGGCGGCCGCGTGTGGGTTCTCGGATTTGGAGAAACGGTGGGATTCTTACAGCACCTGAGAGGTCTGGTGGCCGGCTGCCGTTTCCGCTAATGCTTCCCAACGCCAGCGGCTTTCCCGATGAGTCGGCCGAGTGGGCGCGGCATCCGTTTGGGGTTTGAGGTGCCGGGGTGAATGGTGTGTGTCACTGCAGGACACCGGGAGTAGTCATGATCCAAAGCATTTATTTCCTAGTGGGCTGGGTTCTCCTGGACCAGTGCTGTGATACAGAAGCTTCCACACATTTTCCCCGCACTTCGATTTCAAAACGAGCTAATACTCAGGTGGTGCTGGGCTTGGTGGTGCACACCTGTACTTGCAGCACTGGGGAGGCTGAGGCAGGAGGATTGCTGTGAGCTCAAGGCCAGCCTGGGCTACACAGAGAGACGCTGTCTCAAAACAGGCCCCCCAAAATTGCCAATAATCAGATGCTGAGCTGTGATTAGACAGGACAGATACATCGTGGTGGGGGTAGGGGGAATAAAATACAGCCCTGTCTTTAAAAATTAAGCCTTTTGCTTGATTCTCAGTTATGGGCTTCGGGTGTTGCTGTGTGGAGTCTGATGTTGTAATTTCTCAGTACGCCTTCAAACAGTGCTAAATCCCTAGCAGACCTACTGCCACATTGGTTATCCTGCATGTCCTAAAACTCGGAAGCAAGATTGCAGTTTAACAACTAAACTGTACATATGTGCATATAATGAATTTTTATCTTCTGTAAATTAGTTTTAGAACACAAGCTGGGAAACGGCCTCTGTTCATTTCGTTTCATTAAAGCTACCTCCTGAAGTATAGCGGCTGCCAGTAGCAGGATGTTCAAGTGTGGTTTATAGACTTCTTTGCATTGTAAATAGTCTCGGTTGTACATTGTCAGTGTAATTAAAACAGAATCTTTGTATATCAAAATCGTAGTTTGTATAAAATGTGGGAGGGATTTATTTACAGTGTGTTGTAATTTTGTAAGGACAACTATTTACAAGTTTTAAAAATTGCTATCATGTTTATATATTTACATATATGATCAATATTAAATCATAACTTGGTAAGAAAATCCTAATTAAAAGTTGTTTTCTCCAACATTCAGGTTACTGGAAACTTTTGATTTCATTTCATTTAAAAAATAGAATAGCAGATACATAAAATATGTGGTAACCTGTGCTACACATATGGTATCATATATAATATTGTATTCAGTGTTTTGAATATTAAAGTTTCTAGAAAGCAGTCTATTTTGCCTTAATATATACTAGGTATATCGATGAATTTACTTAGCAATATGTACTCGAATTAAAATTGTGAAGAGTATTAGAAGAAATGTTGGGAATGACCATTAGCAAACACTATTTTGGTACTCCTTCATGAATATTTAAGAACACTTGCTGATGTTGTAGAAGTTGTATCCTAAGTCTGAACCATACCATGGGAAACAGATGGTAACAATGCAGAGAATCCCATCCATCACATCTTTAAAACCATATAGTTAAAACCTACATGAGCCCAGTGTGGTGGTGCACAGCTGTAATCCCAGCGCTTCAGAGGCTGAGGCAGGAGGGTTGTGGGTTCCAGGCCAGCCTGGGCTACATAGACTCAAAAGCAAACAGCCTCAGCTGCCCATAGCTCGGCATTCACAATCAAGTCCTCATTGACAGGAGAAAGCAAAGGGTTTAGTGGAGTGAAGAGAATCTCTTCCTACAAAGAAGACCATGAGCAGCACCCAGTTCCTCTTAATTCTGGACACCACCTGAGCTTCAAACTTCATACATGTCTGAAGTTTCTGCCACAGAGTAGAGTCCCCCTCACGTGTCCCATCCCACTTGACAGTGTCCGCAGCACACAGGGAACCCGCTCACACCCGCCTCAGCCTCCTGCCTGGATTATTTCCGAATGTTTTGTGTGGAAGGCCTTCGCATGTGCAGGGGTTCACTTTTCACGGTGATGTCATCACCCCAGGACTGTGACGGTCAGGTAGACGCGGTCCTGCCTTCCCTTCCTCTCCTCCCCTCGCTCCCCTTTCTTGCGTACTTGAGATTAAAGCCAGTGCCTTCGCACTCAGCTGCAACTGCAGATTTTAAAAAAATTTTTTTAACTAAAACGGTCTAAGTTACCCAGGCTTGTTCCAACTTGTGGACCTCCTGCCTCAGCCTTTCAGGCACGGATTGGAGAGTAAATGTCACTTCCCAAGGCCACAGAGCTGGCCCAGAATACCTCAGGTACATCATGGAAGTGAAAATGAGTGAGTGCTGAGAAAACATCACTAAGTCCACTCGCTAAAAGTGAAGGGGACAGATTCAAAGACCCAAAAATGGGCATCTGAGATGAATACACACTTCTCAGCTGAAGAAATACAAATGGCAGAGAAATACATGAAAAAATGTTCAACATTATTAGTCTTTCGAGAAATGCAAATTAAAACAACACTGAGATTCCATCTCGTTCCAGAAAGAATGGCTGTCATCAAGAAATCAATGGCAAATGCTGGAGGGGCTGTGGGTACAAAAGACCCCTTCTCCACTGTTGGTGGGAGTGTAGACTGGTGCAACCACTGGGGAAATCAGTGTGGAGAGTCCTCAGTAAACTAGGATTAGAGGGCCCATTCAACCCAGCTATTTCCTTTTTGGTATTTTTCCAGAACTAAAAACATGATACCACAACAATTTATGTGCACCCATGATTACAGCAGTGCAATTTGTGATAGTTAAATCATGGAAACAACCCAAATGCCCATCAGCTGAGGAATGGATAAAAAAGATGTGGTATTTTTCTGTAATGGAATATTACTCAGCTATAAAGAAAGATCAACTCGAGGCTTTTATAGGTAAATGGTCAGCACTAGAGGCCATACTCATAAGTGACATAAACCAGACTCACGTCTAAACATCGTATTGTTTCCCTAGTGTAAGAACCTGAAAGAGTAAAGAAAACCCAAAAGGTACAATAGATACTGTGAAAGGGAAAGAAACTGCTCAAAAGGAAAGAGTGACTGGGATGAGGGAAAAGAGGACAGAAAGAAGGGGAAAATATGTATATACGTACACACAAGATAACTAAGATAATTGTACTACTAATTTCTATTGCTTTATTGAAAGGAACAGTTATTTGATCATGCCTATATTTGTTTATCGGAGTAACCAATTCGAAGATAACAATCTAACAACCATTGTTAATTTATCAGCTCGTCTGAAGCTCTGTGTTGTTTTTATGTTGTTTCATTTATGTCTGTGTGTTTAATATGTGTTAGTTCTTTTATCTTTGAAATAAAAAAAAATTTAAGGGGAGACTTGCCCGGGCATGGTGGTGCATTCCTGTGGTATCAGCACAGGAGGATCCCCGTGAGTTTGAGCCCAGCCTGGACTACACTGCAAGTTCAAGGCTGGTCTGAACTACGTAGTGAGATCCTAGCTCCTAAAACAAAAATTAAGGGAAGAGACTCCTGCATCGTTCCACCCCTCTCAGTTCTGCTTGTTCGCCGCTGTGAGAACGGCACAGTGAGAGACCTGACCGTGTGTGGGGTCAGTGCCAGGTACCTCCTCGCTCAGCCTCAGGGCTCCAGGACCAATACAGGCGATGCCATTGTTGGCCATGGTGACCCTGGAGCGTCAAAGACAGGGAACAGGTTGTCTAGTAAGTACCTTGAGGAAAGGAAGTCTGTGACACTTTAGATCCAAGTGGTGAAAGTGGAAAAGTTTGGGAATTTAAAGTGGCCCTGTTCACCATCATAATCTCTCAGGTCCCGAGCTGGAAGCACTGAGGATTAATGAGGTAAATGGCCAGGCAGATTATTTTCCAATTTTCACAGAGGGGTAAGGCTTGGGAAGGCCGAACAGCTTACTTAGGGAAATATATCAAGTGAAAACACTGATTCAAGTCCAAGTCTGTTTATACTTGTGGGTTTTTTTGGGAAGGGGTTGATAGCAGGAATTGAACTCAGGACCTTGTACCTGCCAGCTGAGCTACGTCCCCGGCCCATTTATACTAAAGCCTGATTTTTGTGCTGCACTTCATGTCAGTTCTATCTACTGAAAACTTGCCTCACAAACTTTCTTCCCCCCGTACTAAGGATCAAATCCCAAGGGCTTTCGCACGAAGCTATATCCCCAGCAATTTATTTTTAATTTTGAGACAGGGTCTCAACTTACTCAAAATGGGTTCGAATTTACAATCCTCCTGCCTCAGCCTTGGAGTCTAGGGTCACAGGCGTGTGCCAACAAGTCCTGCTACAAGCTGTTCTCTGGGTGAAGCCTTAAAGGAACCCAGGCCGCTTTGAGGTCACCGACCCTAGAGATGCTCTGATGGCGGTTTTAACTGGGCTGGTCCATGCTGGGTAACTGGGGTAGAGTGAAAAACTTTTCTTTGATCATTTTTATTACTGTTGGATTGCTCCAGTTTTCCTCTGTTTCCATTGCTTTTACTGAAATTTTAATAAAACACTCCACTGAGGTAGTTTTTCCGCTTGTCTTTTTCGCCTCTGGTGCTGAGCATGGAACCAGGGCCGCGCACTCACTAGGCAAGTGCTCTAACGCTGAGCTACACGCCCCGCTACCGGGTCTTACTAAAGCTTCTCAACTGTCGTTGGTTGCTATTGTTTCCACCCTACTAATTGTGCTAGGCCAAATTGGGCAGACCTAGATTTCATCAAAGGTCCTGCGTCACTCTGCCGTCAGCAACAAGTTCTGCGCGCTGTTTCAGTCCAATTTCGCTTCTCAGCATTTCCACCAGTAACGGACACCACGAGCCGCACAAAAGCCCTGTTTGTGCAAAAGCGGATGCGGTGTTGTCAGCATGGATAAGCATCAGCCACGTCGATCTCGCTGTCTTTACTCCCTTCCCCACTTCTAAGAGCGCCCCGTGATCCCACAGAATTCCTTCTTTATTCAAAATTAGTATCTCGGCATATTTTAATTGTATTTTTTTTTCCTTCCGGTACGAGGAATCGAACTCACAACCTTGCGCTTGCGAGGCAGGCGCTGCGCCGCTGAGCTAAATCCCCTGCCCATTGTATTTATTTTTTACCACTAAAGGACGAGGACTACAAGGACCTCGCCAACCCCCGGGCTTAGTACAGCAAAAGGCCCCGAAAAAGAGGGCCCAAACCCCGCTTAGGGAGCGCAGTTCCCCCAGGCAGGCGGGGCGCGACCGGGACGCGAGAGCACACACACTCCGGGCACACACACGCGCAGGCACGCGCACGCTCGCACGCGCACAGCCGCGGGCCTCCACCCCCCAGCGAACGCAGCCTCGCTCTCGAATAGTCCGGGTAGCGGGCTGAGGAGCGGCGGGACCAAGCGCCGTCTCTGCCCCTTTAGAAGAGCGCCGGCCTTATTCAGCGCCAGGGGACTCCTCCGTGTACGCGACAGTCGGCACAAGCTCCGCAGACCGCGGCCGAGCAGCGGCCGGGGGAACTCGGCGGGACGCCACGCTCCGCAGCGCACAGCCCAGCCTCCCGGCGTCGGGGCGTCGCCATGGCGACG